ATACAGAAATTTTTAAACTATGCAAAAGAAAAATCGTTCTCTCGACTGCAGTCTATCCTAGAGGATAGAGGCTTTTTCTTCTCCTGACACTTAGTGATAAAGACTAGTTAAAAGAAAAAGTAATGTGTATTCGCTCCGCTCATCAATTAAGGTCAAATCTAACTCATGAGAAATATTACCGCGTGTAATACTACCGTGAGTGTGTACAACAGGAATATTGGTAATCGTTTTTTGGACTTTTTATTTTTGGACTATTTATCTATTGTCTGTGTTACATCTAATTCCTTATCCTAATTGTTTTGAAATAAACCTATTGATACAGTCCTAACAATTTTGAAATTTTAATAATTTCGCATATACAGGGTGATTGATTAGTGTGAGGAAGCTCAGTAGATCTGTTATAGTAAAAATTACTAAAAAAAGTTATTAACAAAAATTGTAGGCAGCTTTAAACTCCACATTTCAAAATTAGTTACAATCTTACAGGGTGTTCCATAAGATGGTGGCAGACCAAACTTATGTTTTTTTAAATGGAACACCCTGTATTTTATTTTAAATTTAAAATCGGCTTCACTTCCACATCACAACAATGTAAAGTTTTATTATGTTATACCGGGTATCTAAAAAGTTATAACCAATATTACCTGAAAATCGTATTAAGTTTAACTCCCTGTGCAATTAAAAAGGAGTATAGGAACATTGATCTATTGCAACCATAGTTTTTAAATAATTGTTAAAAATTATAAAACATATTCGTTTCCATAATATTCGTTAAATCAAATACAGGGTAAGTCAAAATGCAAATACATTATTTTCTTGGTAATTTTAAATAGAACACCCTGTATTTTATATCACTATCAAAAAGTAATAATATCGTACTTCAAATTTTATAAAGTACTCCCTATACCTAAAGTTATCAGTTTTCTAGATATTATTGTTTTTCCATCAAAGTATTAATTTGGTAGATATTTTAACGTTTACCAACTCACAATATAATTATTGTGAGTTGGTTATGATTGATTTGTCAAAAACTGACAGTTTGACATTATTGTTTAATAATTTAGTAACGAAATAACGACACAGAAAAGAAAACAATTTATTTAAAATAAAATTTATAAAAAATAACCGACGGAAAATAAAAAAAAAATATAACAACACATAGAAAAATTAAAAACAACAGTAAGTTTAACTTATCTTACTTAAGTAAGGTGTTCAAAATGACCTCCCAAAACATCTATGCATGCTTGAAAACGGTCATTGAAAGAGTTGGTTACATTACTAAGCATTTGTAAAGAAATATTTTGAAATGCAATTCGGATTCTATTTTTCATATCATCCCTTGTTGTTGGGGGTATTTTATATACTTCGTTCTTAACGTAACCCCAAAAAAATGAGTCCATTTTATTGAATTCTGGTGACCTTGGGGGCCACCTTACCGGTCCATCCCTTCCGATCCATCTTTCCCCAAACTGATTATTAAGCTCACCACGTACTAATTCGTTGTGGTGCGCAGGAGCACCGTCATGTAGAAACCACATTTTTTCACGTATATTAAGTGGAACCTCTTCTAATAATATCGGTAACTGATTTACGATAAAATCTAAATAAATCTCACCATTTAAATTATCTTCAAAAAAATATGGTCCTACTACATGGTTACCGACGATACCTCCCCACACATTTAGAGACCATCTTGTTTGACTATGTGTTACTATGTGGTATGGATTACTTGTTGAGTAGTAGTGAAAGTTATGCCTATTAAAAGAACCGTTTCGATGGAATGTAGCTTCATCACCAAATAGGACATAATCAAAAAAATCTCTCTGCTCATTAATTTTTTCTAAGGCCCATTCACAAAATACTATTCGTTTCTGAAAATCATCATTAATTAATTCTTGGTGCTTTTGAATATGATAAGGGTGCATCTTGTTTTTAGATAGAATGTTTTGAACAGAGTAGTAACTAAGTTCTTGTTCATTGGAAATAGTCCTTATGCTTGTGTGTGGGTTTTCTGTAACCGCCATCAACACACTCATTTCGTTTTCCTCTGTCACACTAGTTTTTGTTCGTTCATGTTTTTCATAATTCACTGAACCAGTGCGGTTAAATCGATCTTTCAATTTTTCAGATGTATCTTGTCTAGGTTGTCGCCTATCTGGAAACCGTTCTTGATAAATTCTAGCTGATAGTAATGAATTTTTATTGCATTCCCCCAATATCCAGATCATATCTACCATTTCATCAGTAGTAAAATTCATTATTGCTAATTTAAATTGAATCAATTACTGAATTACTAAATAATAATTGTTGCTAATTTACGGTGTACCCCAATACTGAATTAATAAATATTAATGTCAAACTGTCAGTTTCTGACAAATCAATCATGGCCAACTCACAATAATTATTGGTAAACGTTAAAATATCTACCAAATTAATACTTTGATGGAAAAATAAAAATATCTTTAAAACTAATAACTTTAGGTATAGGGAGTACTTCATAAAATATGAAGTACGATATTAGTTCTTTTCGATAGTGATATAAAATACAGGGTGTTCTATTTAAAATTACCAAGAAAATAATGTACTTGCATTTTGACTTACCCTGTATTTGATTTAACGAATATTATGAAAATGAATATGTTTTATAGTTTTTAACAATTATTAAAAAACTATGGTTGCAATAGATCAATGTTCCTACAATCCTTTTTAATTATACAGGGAGTTAAACTTGATACGATTTTCAGGTAATATTGGTTATAACTTTTTAAATACCCGGTATAACATAATAAAACTTTACATTGTTGTAATGTGGAAGTGAAGCAGATTTCAAATTTAAAATAAAATACAGGGTGTTTCATTTAAAAAAACATAAGTTTGGTCTGCCACCATCTTATGGAACACCCTGTAGGATTGTAACTAATTTTAAAATATGGAGTTTAAAGCTGCCTACAATTTTTCTTAATAACTTTTTTTTGTAATTTTTAATATAACAGATCTACTGAGTTTCCTCACACTAATCAATCACCCTGTATACATGAACTCTTTCCGTACAAATTTAATGACTAGAATAAACAAATTAAGGAGTAGGAATAGAGCAAACAGGAGTAAGAATGTAGCAATTACTAGCAGTAGATATTTTGCTCAGAATTGCCTGAATAAACGCCTTATTTCAGTCAAAATAGTTATCGAGTCTGACAACCTAGCTGTGCTGAAAACTCTGTAGCCTTGTGAAATTGAGTCCGTTCAGAAAACTGGTAAAACAGAACAAAGCAACTATGATATGAGGGCAGGGGATAAAGGAATTCTACTACCGAGATTGCTGATCTTGATTCTTGACCAAGAAGGACCTACTCTCTTTATCGGAGCCTTAGAGAACCGCATCATAGAAGATATCCTAATGTAATATTCCAGGCCAAAGGCAAGCAAAGAGGTAATTACAAACTTCGGCGTAGAGCGTCAGAAAACTAAACTCAGAGCAATTACACATGTTTTCACTAGACCCTGCTTACTCAGATATCATCTATGTAAAATAGACAAAATGGACAGAGCAACATTCCAAACAACCCTTTTAAGATCTAGAATCTACAAACAACTAGGATATATAAAGGGAAAAATTATGTATTAATATATCTTACAGTGGAAGAAATAATGGAAAAATTGGGCAAAATCAGAAAAAAGGGCCTAGCGCATTCAAAATAAAAAAATGCATGAGGCTTCATGTATTAGGTTTAAAATTCAGGCCTTTTTCACATCAAAGTGAACAGAAAATTATTTGTTCATGAAAGTAACCGTTTTTAAGTTTACGGGATCATTGTTTAAATATTGATTAAAACGTAAAAAATTATGGATTTCGATTAGAATGTTTTTATGAAATTTTGTGGGTATCTTAAGGGTATGGCATAAGGACACACAATTTTTAGAAATTCTGAATAAACTTGTTTTACATCTGGTCGATTTTAATTTAGTTAAATACAAGAATGTAAATGTTATCGTAATACAATATATATATATATATATATATATATATATATATATAATATATATATATATATTTACTGTTTCTGACTTTGCGTAAGGAATTCAAGTCGCATATTTAAAAGCGAAGAAAGGCACAGTTTAATTCAATTCAATTGGTAGTAATGCTGACACCGTTCGTAATACAGTTCGAAACCCGACCTGGATCAGTACAAGACGTCTTTCTTTTAGGTAAAAGTCAACATAAGAATTCAGTTGAGAGTCTCAACACTACAAGGATCGAAAACCAATATGTGAGACAAGTTTTCAAATGATTTATCCATTTTTGTTTATACTAATGCCAATTCTAACTTTACCGGTTTTTTGAATTATTCAAACCAATTATATATAAAATTTTATTTTGTAAATCTAAAAAGAAGACAAAACTTTAAAGAAAAAAAAAAGCAAACAACTGTATGGAGATGACTTTTTCGATGGATTTAAAAAAATCATTTTTTGTAATCATTTAAATAGTGATCCTGTAAAATTAAACCGATAATTTCATGACAAAATCATTTCTTTGCTTCTAAACTAATACAAAATGCTTTACGTGTACTAAAATTTTATTGTTGGTTATGAAACGAACGAAATTTGATACATGTCTACGTCAAACATTTCGTGTTTTACTACCCAGGAATGTTCATAAAGTGAATACAAATGCAAAAGCATTCAGCTAAGTTCAATAATTGTAAGGAACCATGAGGATTACCATATCCAACAAGATGTGAACTATAGTTCTACCAAATACAAAACCCCTGGCCAAATAAACGAAATTTTTGAAAACCAACACGGGTCAATTTGTGTCCTATTAAACAACGAGCCGTTAGGAAGGCACCTTGATCATTGCTGTAACCCATTTAACAATGTCTTTTGCACTATTGCAGACCAAAATTATAAATATCTTGATTTCTTGTACTCAGTTCAAAATATCTAACGCAGTTTTAATATTCAACAATATTGTAAACGTATGGTTATTAATTTTGTAGTCCATGATTCGCACTTTTTTATTTTAACCGCTGGCATTGATTATACTAACTTGCAAATCGGTGTGTGTGGGTTAGGTGTGGCCCAAGGTGTGGGTTCTGGCCTGTTTCAAACTTTACACGCTCCTCCGTCTGGTCCATTCGGTAGCTCATCATTGGGAAATATCGGCTCATCTGCAACTACTACATCTTTGCATACAGGTAGGAAGAACTATTTGATGTTACATTATTGCACAATGTTTTTTTATAAATTTTGGGTAAATGTTTTGGGTCTTTAATTGGAAAAAAAATTAATGGGGAAGCTTTTATGTGGATGATTCACAAGTGTGGTTAATAATGTTGGGAAAATGAAATATAAAAATTGGTACCACCGAAACGAAGTTTTTTTGTTAATACTTTTTTGAATAACTTTTGCAGTCTTGAACATGTTATCGAAATGTTGTGCCGGATTCAGTTTTCATAAGAAAATATTTATCAGAAGTGAACATAAATACGTCGTAATCAAAAACAAAATATTGTTATTTTTTTAAAGTAGTTTATATTTTAGTTAAAAAATATATACTGATTTAATATCAAATTTTTTTAGATTTCACTTATAATTTATTAATTAATAATAAATTAAATGATATGAATATTTTTTTCCGTTAAAACAGAAGCAACTGTGCCATTTCTATATTCATTGTCACGGTCTACACCGAAAAAATAAAGAATGAGATACCGCGAACGTCTGACAGATGTGAAACAGCAACTATTTTTTTAAAGAAAATATAAGAGTTCGTAGATTCTTTAGTTAAAAAAATACATTGTGAATTAATCTGGAAGTTGCTTAAATATTATCAGCAATCCATTCGCATTTTATTATAACTTTTATAACTTTGAATTAATTAAACGTAGGCAATCCAGAGAACAACCACACTCTGTACGCTAGACAGGGCCAAAACGAGGGGTAACTCTTGGCATATCGAAGCCACCATTGTGGCAGCAAATTCTATTAGTCAGGGAGCTTGCGTTACAATATACTTCGTCTCTCTGTGTAGGTTGTAGATCAACTGGGTTGTCATTGCTTGGAAAATAGCGACTTTGAAACTGATTTTTGAAGTCTTATACAGAAATCTTTCAATTAAGATTGACCTTTTATCTTCAATTTTGCTTTGGATTACCAGATTACAATGTATCATAGCTCTTCCATGTTTTTTTATAATTTAACTTTTTGTTAAATTTGGTTTCTTATTATTTAACACAGTTTGAAACAGTTCTACTGTTTGTAAATTTTCATTATATCTGTCAACCCATTCGGATATTTACGTTGTTCATGCATGACTTGTTATACTGTTTTACCAAAACAAATTCATGGCCAAATATTAACATCTATAAGGACTTCACTTTCAATTAGAACAGTAGAAAGATGCGTTGCTGAATTTTAACGTGATCCAAAGTTCACAATATTAGCAATCATAGGAAAAATACAAGATCGTCGATAAACTGGGAAAGGTTTAGTCGAAGTCTTAGTAATCTGAATAGGCAGCGTGGATAATATTTTGGCTCAAGTTTGGGTTCCACAAATTGGTATGCACTATAGGTGCGGAAGTCGGTAATAAGGGAACAAAAAAAGTTTAGGAAGGATTAAAAAGGATTTTGTGCATCGTTTTGTCACTAGGGATAAGACTTGGATATATTACAATGATCCCAAATCACAAGAATAGGATAAGTAGTGGTATGAACTCGCTGCTTCAGCTCTGAAGCAAGTTAGGATTAGACCGAGAAAGTGTTAGCATAAGTTTTTGGTATCATCATCATCAGTAGCTCGACAACCCTTTCTGGTTCCTGGCTTGTTCTAGGATTTTCCGCCATTATGTTCTGTTCTTTGCTTTGTTTTTCCAGTTGGTAATCTTAAGTGTTTTCAGATCTTGTTCCACTTGTTCCATGTATCTAAGTTTGGGACTTCCCTTTGACCTTCTCCCTACTGGTGTTTGCCTGATTATATGTTTTGGCGTTTTAGTCTCCAACATCCGTTCAAGATGGCCCATCCAGCGCAGACGTCCGATCTTTATGGATGTTACGATTTCGGGTTCATTGTATGCTGTGTATAGTTCAAAGTTATATCTTCTGCGCCATATGTCATTTTCCTTTACCCCCTTGTCTAAGGATTTTTCGTTCAAATGTACATAATAGGTTCTCATCGCTTTTCGACAGTCCACGTCTCTGATCCATATACAAGGACCGGTTTTATCAGGGTCTTGTATATTTTGCATTGGGTTTTTCTTGTGTTGTTGTTAGATCTTAGATGTTTAATTAGTCCATTATATGTTTTATTAGCGATATGTATTCTTCTCTTAACTTCTTCACTGATATTGTTATCTGCGGTAACTAGTGAACCTAGATATGTAAAACTTTTCACGCTTTCGATGTTATAGTCTCGTATTGTCAGATTCTGTAGGTTTCTTTGGCCTATCGATTTACTGGCCTTCATGTATTTGGTTTTTATTTCGTTAATGTTTAGGCCACTGTTTTGTGCCGCTCTTTCTATCTCGTTAAATGCTTCTATCATTTTATATCTATCTATCTATCTTTCTGTTTCTATCTAGTTTTTGGTATACAAAATTAATTTTCCTCGTGAATTCCTTAAACTAAGAAGACAAAGCAACCTCTCTTACAGGTCACAAATATCACGAGAATCAGTCAATTAAAGTGTAAATTATTGTATACATTCACCTTATTCGACAGATTTAGATCTGGCTCTGGCAGCTGTGGAAACGATTAGACCTTCATCCGGATTCTCGCCTCAAAAATGCCATATATAAATTAGAAGATTGATGGAACAAGTCTATTCACTTCTTCCATTCATTCAGTAATGTCATATATAAATTAGAAGATTGGTGGAACAAGTGTATTTAAGTTCAGGAAAATTATATTAAACATAAGTATTGACAAGAACGACAGAACATACTAAAGAACCTACCAATTCTTATCGTTTGGAAAAATATTTAGTATATATTCACATATTTTGCATTTAATATGTTTATTACTGTATTAAATTATTTTTTGTCTATTCAAATTCTCATTGTCAAACTGACTAATTGTTTAAAATACGCTATAATAATAAATATATAAAAATAATTGAATAAAATCTGTTTTTAAGTTCAAAGAAATACGCTTGTTGTTAATTGCCTTGAAAGCAAAGAAAACTCTTTAGAATATCCCATTTCTGCGGAATTGTATACGCAATTTGGTGTTAAGTCTGAAGGCGACTGTTTTAAAACTCTGATTTATTAGGGTACTCTTTCTGTAGCTGTACTTAAGTACGACCACCCCTGAGAATTTTCTTTTTTCTCTTTATATGCAATTGTGCTTGTTCATTGGCGGAATAATACCTCTATGGAAGGTTGTCACTTCTTCTATTGTGCGGTCGTCCGATACTTCTTCTGTCGATTGGTGACTTATATCTCGCTATTTTGACGACACAGGTCTCCTCCATTCTACTTATGTGGTTATTCCATTCTTTTTTTCTATTTTGTGTCCATTCATTTATGCACTGTACGTTACATTTTCTTCTAATGTCTTCACTTTCGATCTCTGAGCGTATTTCGTGTAATTTTTCTTAGTACTCTCTGCCGTTTCCAGTAGCCTCTGCGTTGTGGCTGTGTCTGGTCTTGTTTCTAAGGCATATGTCATTATTGGTCTTACACTGGCTTTATAACTTTTTAAATGTCAGTGTTTAATGTGTCTATTTCGCCATATGGTGTTATTAAGACATCCTGCCAGTCTATTTGCTTTTTGTACTTGATCTCTCACTGCTTTGTCCAGCTCTCCATAACTAGACAGTGTAATTACCAGGTATTTTATTTCCATTACTTTTCAATACTTATGCCATCAATTTCTATTTTACATCTGGTTGGCTCTTTGCTGACTACTGGTTTTAGTTTTCTGAGATGAGATTGTCATATTAAATTCTTTGCTCTTATCTTAAATCTGTGGACCAATCACTGCAGACTATCTTCATCTTGGGCTATCAATATTGCGTCGTCTGAGTAACAGAGTAGTTTGATTTCTTTGTTTCCCATTTTGTATCCTCTTCCTTTGTTAACGCTTTTGATGATTTCATCAATGATCAAATTGAAGAGCTTTGGGCTTAATGAATCCCCTTGTCTTAGTTCGCTGCCTATTTCTATAGGTTCGATAAGTTGGTAGGTTTTAGAACTGAGAATTTTAGCTACGGATTTTTATCCCTACATACACTGACAAAAACAAATCAAGACGAGACATCGAGATGTAAACATCTCCAGTTTGACCAGGACATATATGACCCTAACTACAATTAATATACCATAGTCAAATGTAAAGTGCTTGTCTTTATACAGACAACATTAATGAATTACGCCAGGTTTTCGCAATACAGATATAAAGAATATTTATTTTACCATTTTCTGTCTTCTAATCCTCAAAAGTATTTTTTTACCTCATACCATTCTCTCTTGTATATGTAGCATCTATGATGCTATACTATATGGTGTCTTTTAAGACTCCAAATTGCGTATTTTAGTAGGTCATTCATTACTGGTTAAATCTCTAGATAAATAAAACAAAACCAAAGTTATTTCATGTTCGTAACGTTTCGAAACATTCTGAAAATTACTTACACTTTAAGCACCATGAAACATGAAACGACGCCATCGGATCTGATCTACTATTATATGCTTTATATTTCATCCTGTTTTATATAAATAGATGGGAGAGTAATACGTATACCTCAAGACAAATACCATTTCGCAACTGTATATGCGACTCTGAAACCATGAATAACAAATATAATCATTTATTCAGGTAGTGACATTACCAGACAAAATTCTAGAGAAATAAATTGTACGTGAAATGTGGGACTGTTTGAAGTTTTAAGGCGATAATTTGAATAATGGACGTTCAGGCATTCCGCTTTGATTTTAAATACAAATGTCGACAAATGAGAGCATCCTTACATTACATCTTGCCTACGTTTCCAAATATATATTGAGAATAAACCGCAAATTTTAAATGAAACTTCGAAATTATTAATATTTCTACCTCCAGATCTGATTAATCTTTCGCCTAAAAGACAAGTTTAACAAATTTGTTTTTTGAAAACAAACTAAAGATTTCTTGTTAGGGTACCTGTGCGTTCAGAACGTTATTGATCATTCAATTTTCCTTTTCCTTCAATTTTACCTTGCAAAATGCATTGGAGCAGTTCATATCTGCCTTAGATAACTACAGAAGCACTGAGTACACATAACATTTTAAGGAGCCTTACTTTTGTTTCGAGTGTGAGGTCATGGTTCTTGAACACAAAGCTCATAGCCAAGAATACACTTTTTGGCTTTGATGCGACATTTAATCTCTTGGGGATTATCCCCCATTGATTATAGTTCCCAAGTAGTTATACTGTGAGACACGTTCAATTCTCATTTGGTTCACATACAGATTTGTTCCAGTTGTGTGTTCCTTTCCTAATCTAAAGCAGTACTTTCATACCTTAGCTGGGTCTATTATACTACTTTGAGTGTATTTCTTACATGTCTCTCCTCGTGTATTAATTTGGTCAAACCATTATTGTTTACTGTTATTTCTATTGTTTAGGGCATTTGAGTTGTTCCTCAGTTTAGAGTCAATAGAGTAAATTTCTATTTCTTTTGTGTTAACTGATTATTTCGAAATCCTGGCATACATGTTTGTGCAAATGGCATTTTCTGCTCTGAATGTCCTACCGAAAAACGATAGTTTATCATGTAATAACTTGCTTACTGACTTAGGTTGGTAGGTGGAAGGGGAGATATTGTGGCTGGTATTTTTTATTATAAACATTTTTTTACTTAAGGTCTGAATATGTTAGACAACGAATTTACAAATGGGAGCTTTTTTGTGCGAAACATGTATTGCGGCTGGTCAGACAAGCTGTTGACTGGTTGTCTCGCTCTCTTCGACTCTCTCTCTCTCTCTCTCTCTCTCTCTCTCTCTCTCTCTCTCTCTCTCTTTCTCTCTCACTCTGCCTCTACCTGCTGATCTTTCTCTTTCTTTCTCTCTCTTCCTTACTCTACATTTCCCTCTCTATCTCTTTCCCTCTTTTTATCTCTCCCACCCTCTCTCCCTCATTCCCCCCATCCCTCTCACATTGAGGTGAGTTCGAGAGTTCGTATACCTACAGCGTATGTGTATTCAGTGTTGTTGGTCACTTTGCAACACTTTGTCGATATTTTATTTAACTACAAGTAATCAAATATGATTGCAGTAAATGACGAAACAGCTGACAATGCTTTTTGACAAAAAATTTTGATATTAATTTAATGTATATTTTTAAATAAAGATTATAGTAATTTTTTCTAAAAATTCTGAACATTTTGTTTTTGATTATGGCTATATTCTTTTATACTCCATCATCTCTTTAGAATATTTTCTATGCAAAATAGTGTAGTATATAAATAGTATTTTCTATGCAACATTTTAAAAAATGTTGGTTTAAAAAATAACTGAATTATAACACCATTACTAAATTATCCTTTTAAATACATAAGATACATACACAAGATTTTTCCATGCTGATAAGCATTTTCCTTTATTTCCGGAAAATCTGTAAGATTGGGATAACTTGTAATTACCTAGTAAATACAATGTAAATAATTTTTAGAACAACTTTGTTGTTATATATATATATATATATATATGCTTTTTATAGTGATCATTTTCTAATAAAATTGAATTACATATATTTTTATATGTAGTAGACTGATAGAACGAATAATTTTTGTAATATATCTGTACCATACTAATTGATTTTCTCGTAAACGTAACGCATTAGAGAGAGGGTACTTACTTAGTCATCATGAACTCATTAAATCATTTATATTGCTACGTCGATTTGATTTTGCCTAAACAATGGTCTAACCGCTTGTCCAATTTTTACCGAATATATAAATTATTGGGAACAACCAATTGTGATGTGGAATAGATTTTCCGTACATATTTAATGGAAATTTGTGTGGCTATACATTATTCATACAAACGGTCTAAATCAACGACATTATCGTGATGTGCTTCATGAAATCATAGCTTGGTTTAATATTGTAAATCAACTCGTCTACTACTAGACTGAGAATTAATAATGTTTAATTCAGTCGTCACCGTTTAGTTTATTCTTTTAAGTAATATTTCCTAAATTTACATGTCTCTAGTTCCTTGGCCATAAGAGTTATGGAGATACTACTCTGATATACCACTAATCGAAGCCATTCTTCTAGTTATAACGTTTGTCGTATGGACAGTCCCATGATTTTCATGATAATACAATATTTATATCAAAAAAATATCAGTAGTTAAGGAGATGATTCTGGTAATATCGGTGATGTAAGTTTCCGTTTGCTATTTCAAGCTTTTCTTTTAATTTCGTCTTTGAAGTTCTCATATGATTGACTGTCATTGTAATGCATAATATTTTATTAAAGTTTTTTTTTTATTTTCATGGCTAAAGCTTTGGTGATTTTTTTTTATTTCATGAGCTTTCTGCTTGGCAGTTTCAAAAAAATAGTTTTGTTTGGGTTATTGACTATTTTGCTCTTTAATACTTCAATACATGACCCCTTTTTGTGTTGCTTCAAATTCTTCAAATGTATCTGATACACTTCCTCTTCCGAGATAATGATTTTTTCTTCTTCCTTCTCTTTATGTTTCTCGTTTTAGTTAACATGCGTTCAACGAGATTTATTTTTCTCTTCTAGGATCTTCATGTTTTAAATCATGTATATTATAAACAAGTTGTAGAAAACATGAAACTGTAAGAAGTACACAAAAAGAAAATTGTGTTATTTATTTACTAATTTTTATTGTTTTTTTTTATTTTCTTTTTCGGCGTTTGTGTGCTACTTTTTTTTTCGAATATTTTATATTTTAATGTTGATTAATAACTATATATATTCAAGCACTGTTGTTTCTAATATAACATTTCTTGTTTAGACAATTTGACTGGCCTGGGCCTAACTACCACCACAACAGCTCGAAGAGACTCCTTCGATCGTAATACATCAGCATTTTCTCCATCTCTGGAATACAGACAGAAGTGGCCCACGTCGTATAACATCGGAAGCAGTCCTAGTCCATTGACAGGAAGCCTAACACCGCCTCCAACCGCTCCTCTACAACTGGGAGGTCTTGTCAATTCTCGGGTACTATCTGCAGCGCCTGGAGCCGAAGCCAAATACAGAAACTCTGTCGCTGCTGGATTGAACACCACAGCGATTTTTGGGTCTACTAATAGTTTGTTTACGAAGATCAATTCCACATTAACTACAGTTCCAGCGACGCTAGATAAGGGGCCGCAAGGGAGGTCAAGATTGCTGGAGGATTTCAGAAATAACAGATATCCAAATCTTCAGCTGAGGTAAGGCTTCGGTATCACTTCAAAAGTTCAGCTAAATCACGAAAATCTTTCTCCTTCATTTGATGCTGTATTCAGTACTTATTGTAATTTTTGTCGAATATATGCAAATCCGATCAGAAATTGTTACCCCTTAAGACCCTTTCAACCTCTTTACGAACCTGTTTAAGGAAAATATGCTTGTTTTTCTTTTCAGAGCTTGCTCACCAATTTCATAAACATTGCGAAGCAATGCCTGTTTTTTCCATCTCCCGATTAGAATATCCTTAAAATTGTATTGGCATAAATCGTATCTTTATCCTTTTCCCGAGGCTACTTTAAATATTTATGTTTATAGAGGGTGACTCCTAGAAAACGAATTATCTACAGCAATTTGTTTCTGGAAGAGGTAAATGTGTTTTGAAATATTTCGGCGGGTTCTATGTAGTTTAGGAGATATGCAGTCGTATATATTTTCTGACATCTAAACTAATGGCGCTACGTAGCAATACCGATCTCTGCCTACCTTTCTTTCTCTGTTCCGGTAATACCCGCGCTAATGGTCATGCCGTGTCGTATGGTGTAGAAAGACAGACTTGTAACGAAAAGAACAGTCATTTATGCTTCCATTCCAACTATTTGCATTAATCATAGTCATCATTATTTATTAAAAAAACCTGTGATTTTTAGGGATTTGGCTAACCACATTGTAGAGTTTTCGCAAGATCAACATGGCTCTCGGTTTATCCAACAAAAATTAGAACGAGCCACTACGACAGAGAAACAGATGGTCTTTAACGAGATCCTCTCCGCTGCTTACAACCTCATGACGGACGTTTTTGGAAACTACGTTATACAGAAGTTCTTCGAATTTGGAACACCAGAACAGAAGACTACACTAGCGCAAAAAGTTCGCGGCCATGTTTTGCCCTTGGCCTTGCAGATGTACGGTTGTCGAGTCATACAGAAGGCACTGGAGTCTATACCTCCAGAACAACAACAAGAAATCGTCCGAGAGCTAGATGGACACGTTTTGAAGTGTGTTAAAGATCAAAATGGAAACCACGTTGTGCAGAAGTGTATTGAATGTGTTGATCCTAATGCTTTACAGGTAACAAAATGAAAAATAAAATGATTCTTTGTTGCACATATTAATTTAAACCGATTTGTGTTCTAGTTCATAATTTCTTCATTCTCTGGACAAGTGTACACTTTATCCACCCACCCGTATGGCTGTAGAGTAATCCAGCGCATTTTGGAGCATTGTACACCAGAACAGACGGCGCCAATTTTGGCAGAACTACATCAACATACTGATCAGCTGATTCAAGATCAATTTGGAAATTACGTCATTCAGCATGTGCTAGGTAAGAAAATGTTATTATGATCATTTATTTGAAAATCAGTGATGGTGACAATAAATTCGTTATCATGTGTAAACCAAATCTACTATGTTTGATGTCGATGATTTTAAAATCGAGCTAATTTATCTATTAGCATTATATATTCAATTTCAATCACAAGACTAAAAAGAAGTTTCTAATCCAAATATAATCCAATATCCCACATTGAGAAATAAATAATTTTGGAATTGCGATGTTTTGCAATGATAAAAATCGAGAAGGGATAGTAAACATTTAAGAAAAAGTATTCAAGCGAAGAATTATGGAAAAGGAGACCAATATTAAACAACAAATGAATAAATCGTGAAGAGAAATACTTGAATAATTCTAATATAGTGAATTTTAAACCCAACAAAATTGTGAAATTTATGTAAAGGGACAAATTTAAGAAGAAATGGAACATTTGGTATTATTATTTGGTAATGGCATTAACGTTAATGGCAACAAGTTAAACCACCTCAGATTCGCTGACGACATAGTGATTATAGCGAGCACGTTCGAGGAACTGCAAATTATGTTGGGGGAACTAGCAGCCAGCTCCCAATACGTCGGCCTAAAAATGAATATGAAAAAAAACAAAAATAATGACAAACACAGAAGACCCCAGACATATAACTATAAACGGCAGTGAGATAGAACAAATCTAGGAATATATCTGCCTAGGCCAAATCTTGAGACTTGACAAAGAGAACCAAAGTGCAGAAATTACTAGAAGAGCAAGACTAACATGGGCAGGATTTGGAAAACTTAGTTGGGTACTTAAGAACCGCAAAGTACCCCAATACTTGAGGAGCAAAGTTTTCAACCAATGCATCCTTCCTATCATGACATATGGATGTCAAACCTGGACCCTAACCAAGACAAATATGAATAAACTAGCCACAACAGAAAGAACAATGGAAAGAGCAATGTTAGGTATACGACTGTCAGATAAAAAGAGGAACGACTGGGTAAGATCCAAAACAAAAGTCGAGGACATAACAATAAAAATTGCAAAACTTAAATGGAGGTTCGTGGGCTACACTGCTAGACAGAAAGACCAACGTTGGAATACTACAACATTGGAGACCTTACGAAAGTAAACGACCAAGAGGAAGACCACAGATGAGATGGGTTGATGAAATCAAAAGAATAGCCGGAACAAATTGGAAATATGTTGCTCAGGATAGAGTTCGATGGAAGGAGTTGGGAGAGGCCTATGTCCAAACATGGACGACTGAAGGCTAAGAAGAAGAAGGAGCATATTTACCACACACGGAATAAGATTATCCTTAAAATTGTAACCATCGAGATCTAAGTTTTAGGCATGGGGTGCCATTCCTAAGAACGGTGGTTGCCAATGGGTAGCAATGATACCTTACCTTTACAAAAAAGATTTTTAAATTATACTTATGGCTTCTGGTGTTGTCTTCAAGTAGTTCCACAGTATTGCGAATGTAGTTGTTGGGTGCAAGTTTCAGTGGTTGATATTAGTATTTAAACTTCAGGGGTATGTTGATATCCCATAGCATCGGACACCTACTGTATATTACTCCCAATGGTCGACTTTGTGGTTCGGGAAGTCCTCACCCAAAAAGTGGACGAAAATTAGGCCAAAAAACTAGAATAATAAACCTTGTGTTAGCAACTGCATATGTTTGACAATATTTCCTTGTCATATGAAGATTAAAAATAAGTACAATATTAAATAGACAATTGCAAATTGGCAATTGTAAAATGAGTAGAATTATGATTTAATGAATTAGTTAAATTATATTAAAGATACTAACTGCATATAGGACGTATTATAAGGTTACAAGAAACATGTGCGTAGGAGTTGTATGTATAAAAAGAGAAATTATAAAAAGACGCTGGATATTGGTTAAATATTACATATCACTTACCCCAGAGAAAGATTTAGAGATATAAATCAATTTTCAATTAAAGATCCAGCTTAAATAAAGAAAAGACATGAAAAAAATATAATCAAACTCTACAGAGTTAAGGTGGCATGACAGAGCAGAGTTGCCAACTGACAGATATACTTTATCTATCGAAGTAAGGCATATAATTTTATATATGTTCTATCTCGGAAAGTAATGGGCTCTGAACACAGGCATTAGACTATTAAGTGAAAATGAAAATTGGTATTTAAAATATGACAGAATATTTAATAGACAGAAATTTAACAGAAAAATAACAAAAAACATGTGACGTTTATAACGTTACAAAATTAATGTAGAAGCAGACACAAATGTTATCCTCTGGGCAATAATGTATTGATGGCAGTAATACACCTACCTATTGAATTTGGATGTGGATACAAAGTGTAAATATATACTTTAGCGTTAGATACAAATTAGTCACAATATTAGTATACACATCAAACTGGCAAAATCGCAGTGTCCTAATGATTGATACAGAAATATTTTTTTGATGGTATATTATCACAGCGTTAATGGAAATTGTGCCCTTACGGTAGCCTGTAGGTCTTAACATTAATATTTTGTGATTGCATGATTTTAGTTAAACACAGATAGTTGTTCACATTCTGATTGGCCATAAAGTCAAATTTACATTGAAGGGACATTTGCAGAACGTTAATTACTGGTTGAGTACCTTAATGTTTTTTGCCTTATTTTCAGCAGCTCCAGTTTTAAATTGTAATTGTTGTATCCATTTTATCAAACATTTGCCACCAAGAGAGTGTAGTAGTTAAATATAATAAAGCAAGATTCTTCAAAATAGACAAGCAGTTCATATTTTTCAATTCATAAAAGAATATAAATTGGTAATTTTAGAATGTTAGAACGCGACAAAAGAAAAAATTAAATAAGTTTGGTGTAGTAAAATACTTTCTCATTGTCCTGATCAAACTTTACATTGGCAATGTCAAACCAAAAATGTCACGCCATTCAGCACGTTGGCTAGATTATTATCGAGCCTTGTATTTTAGACGAGTCAAGTTAGTAGAAAATAAGCGTTTTTTCGTCACAAGTGTATAGACGGGTTTAACAGTTGAAATGGATAGTATGAGATATTACAAAAAGACTCTCATCTAGGGATTCATGAATTTTTTAGTGGAACTATTTTTAAATAAACAATTAAGACGTCAATATCATTATTTTGCTCATAACTTATAAACTTGTCTATTTAGAGATTTGACGTCCACATACGAGTTGTTGAGAAAGAAAAAATACACAAAACGAGATATACTAAATTAAAATCGGTTAATAAACAAAAAAGTTATTGCATAATAACCAAGCAAATCGGCTGTTTTTGATTATTGTTAATAACTCTTTAAGTATTCAATAAAATTTATTTAAATGTGTCTGAACTTAAAGATCTCATCGTGTTCAAAGTGTGTGCGAAAGATAGGCTAGATCCGTCGAATAGTTTTTGCACAATTTAATTTGTTTATAAGATTTTTTGAAAAATGCACAAATTTCTAAGGCCGGTCCAGATAATTTGACTGAATGGATCTTAATAATCCGGGGCTTATTTTCTTCGATGAGATATATACTAATATCCTGTGGAAAAAAAAGTTAAAAAAAATTACGTTTATGCACACAAAATGATTTATTAATAAATAGCACTTTTTAAGTTTATAAACATTTAAAATAACTCCGTACTATTTAGTTTAAATTAAATGGCAATAAAATATTCGGAAGGCGGGATAAAAAACACAACTTTAAAAAAAAAAAAGGTCCTGCGACCATTAGGAGCCGAGTTAGTCCTTTTTTTTTTAAATCACTGTTACGTCAATTAACAACATTAAGGGCTGAAATTAACCAATCTTTTAGAAGAAAAGTCAAAGTTATTCACAAAATTTTTAGCAAAAAAAATAATTGAAAATTGTTTAAACAGGAGTGTTGTAAACGAAGAGTACTTTGCGTTCCGACTAGAATGGAAGGAGTGGGGATTGCCGATTGCACACAAGCCGCGCTCTCCAAAAAAGTCGAGCGCACGGTTTCAAAATAGAGTGCTTGGAAAAAAATGACATTCTCGGGTTCTAGTGGACCAAATTTGTTCTTTTTTTTTTAAACTGGGGTACAACGTTAAAATAATAACATTTAACGTACTTTCATTGCAAAATTATTCAAAACAAAGCAGCTAATGACTACGGAATGTACAAACTTTTTCTTAAGTCGTCTTTTTATTGTTATTTTTCTATTTATTTATTTCAAATATGATTATATTAAATAAATGTTATAAGTAAATGAACATTTTAAATAATGTTTACTAAAAATTTATTAATGAAATAATAAATTAATTTTATGTTATTACAGAAGTTGAAATTTTGTGTAGTGATTTTTTAAAATATTTTAATTTACTGTAATTTTCTACGCTTTATTTCTATATCGTCACTGCTACTACTATGTAAACATTCATCTTCACTTTCATCTTCTTTCATCTATGCGCTTTTTACTTGCTTCAATGAGATTTAAAATACCTTTTTCTTTAACAGTCCGAAAGTTTGAAGTTATCTTGCTGTCACACAAGCAACAAATAAGATTTTGATCCATTTTTAATAACCACTCACTAAAAATTTAATACAAGTTAATAAAGAAATAGCTGAATTTAAAGTCATGATTTAAATTAAGGGGAGGCTGAAGGCAAAAGTCGGAATTTAATTTTTCAAACAATTTTTCTCAATGAATTTTCTACCAATTAAGGTAACAATTAATTTACACACTTTTTTTTGTAAATAGTTTATTATATTCTACAAATGATACAGTATCTTTTTTCCAAAATATTAAAAAAAAATTCAATAGGGCAAATTTAGGAACATTTTTTGGAAAACTCTTTCACACACTTCTAAATATTATAAGGAATATTTAAACCAATTTTTAGCATAATCGATAAACAAATAATCAAGAAAAATCGTTTTTAGTTCCCCTTATCCTTTTCTTAAATAAAAGCATCAATAATGTTTATAAAATTGTCTATAACCGTTTTATAATTGAAATAATAAGTGAAATATCAAACTTTTTTTACGTGACTTTAATTTATAAAATTTCTACGCTGAATATTTTTCAATTTTATTTTTATAAAATCTAAAAGGGTGTACGTTTAATTATAATATTTATTATCATAGAAAGGCCCCTTACTTACCAATTTATTAGTTTGTATCGCTAATCCAATCCAAAAAAAAAACAATTAAATGTTTCTATACTGCAATAATACTATTTCTATAAGTACTGCAATAATAAGAATTTATTAATTTTCGTATAAAATTTGAAATGCGATCTTATAATTTTAACGTGAAAATATTTTAATATATTCATTTGTTATCTTTTCTAAAAAATTGTAAATCTAAATATCCGTTTAAATTTCATTGGTTAACTTTCAAAAATTATACATTATATTGTATAGATTCGTATACAATTTAAAGCAGTGTACTCACATTTTTGAAATACATGTTTAAAATCTTTATTAGTACAATAAATATCATGTTTTAAAATAAAAATAGAAATATTTAATAATTTTTCCATATAAATAATATCATAGTTTCATTTTCACGTAAACTTATAATAATAGTAAAATAATATTATATTCAAAGTTAACCGTATATTATTCAGACAACGTGGTACAACCATGTGTTTATATTAATATATATCACAACACGTAGTTTTTGTTTAATATTCAGATGAATTTTACTTACCATTAATTATTTGTAACAATTATTAAATAAAACAAAACACTAAATATTTCAATACAACAAACCGGTTGTATAGTCGCAGGAAAATGAGTTGTAAAAACTAACAGCATCTGCTTTCGACGTGCGCTCGACTTTTTTTAGAGCGCGGCTTGAGTGCAATCGGCAATCCCCACTCCTTCCATTTGAGTCGGAACGCAAAGTACTCTTGGTTTACAACACTCCTGTTTAATCAATTTTCAATTATTTTGTTTGCTAAATATTTTGTTAAAAACTTTGACTTTTCTTCTAAAAGATTGGTTAATTTCAGCCCTTAATGTTGTTAATTGACGTAACAGTGATTTTAAAAAAAAAAGGACTAACTCGGCTCCTAATGGTCGCAGGACCTTTTTCTTTTTTTTTAAGTTGTGTTTTTTAACCAGCCTTCCGAATATTTTATTGCCATTTAATTTAAACTAAATAGTACGGAGTTATTGTAAATGTTTATAAGCTTAAAAAGTGCTATTTATTGTTAAATCATTTTGTGTACATAAACGTAATTTTTTTTAACTTTTTTTTCCATAGGATATTAATATATGTCTCAACAAAGAAAATAAGCCCCGGATTATTAAGATCCATTCAGTCAAATTATCTGGACCGGCCTTAGAAATTTGTGCATTTTTCAAAAAATCTTATAAACAAATTAAATTGTGCAAAAACTATTCGACGGATCTAGCCTATCTTTCGCACACACTTCGAACACGATAAGGTCTTTAAGTTCAGATACATTTAAATAAATTTTATTGATTAATAAAAGAGTAATTAACAATAATCAAAAACAGTGGTTTTGCTTGGTTATTATGCAATAACTTTTTTGTTTATTAACCGATTTTAATTTAGTATATCTCATTTTGTGTATTTTTTTTTCTCAACAACTTGTCTGTGGACGTCAAATCTCTAAATAGACAAGTTTATAAGTTATGAGCAAAATAATGATATTGACGTTTTAATTGTTTATTTAAAAATATTTCCACTAAAAAATTTATGAATCCCTAGATGAGAGTCTTTTTGTAATATCTCATACTACTTATTTCAACTGTCAAACCCGTCTATACACTTGTGATGAGTAAAAACCTAACTTGATTGGCCTATTTGTGTAATTCCATGACTTAACTCAAATACGATTATTTTTTTGAATTGATGTATATTTTGATACATCTGCTACAAAAGAATTTAACCAATACCTGTTAGTCAAAAAATTTTAAACTTCGTACTATTCAAGACATCTATTTACTGTTTTATTTGTTTTAATAATATATTTACTGTGTTTTCAGAGCATGGAAAACCCGAAGACAAATCTCAGCTGATCAACAGCGTTAGAGGCAAAGTGTTGGTACTGAGTCAGCATAAATTTGCCAGCAATGTGGTTGAAAAATGCGTGACACACGCTACAAGAGCAGAAAGAGCATTGCTTATTGAAGAAGTGTGTGGATTTAATGACAAGTAAGTAAAATTTTTATATACCATATCCTTATATTTTACTATATGGAATTTTCCCGATTTTATGTAGAGTTACAGGATCGAGTGTATAACGAGGAGGTTTTTGAATTCTCTCTTTGCACTTTTACGAAGATGTATTATGTTTTACTCTATATCAAATGCCTTTTTGTAGTCGATAAAACAAATATATACATCACAGTTGACATCCCTACACCTCTGGATAAGCACTTGCATATCGAATAGAGCTTCTCGGGTGCCTAAGGTATCGTGTAATCCAAATTATGTCCATGATACTTGTTCTTTACATTATTTATATATTCTGCTATGTATCACTTTGAAAAACGTTTTAAGTAAGGCTTATAAGACTAGATTAGACTAATTATTCTGTAGTCTTCGCATGTTTTGCATTTAACTTTTTTAGTGTAGTTACGAAAGTCGACTTTCTTTAACCATCTTTGGGGAATATTTCCAGTTATATATATTTTGTTAAATATAGTCATTATCCATTTTATTCCGTGTTCGTCCATAAGTTTCAGGAATTCTGTATAAAATTTGTCAGGCCCTACAGCTTGACATATAGAATACCTATCAAAGAAGAATACCCATCTCTATATTTTCGAATAACGAAAAAGACTTGAAGACTAATGAATTCTCTACATTACTGCCTGTTTTAGTTTTTATACGAAGCCATTTTAGTAACATTTTCCAAACTTAATTTCTTAATAAATTAGTTTTAAATATTTACGTTTTCCTTCAAACATTTATTATAAACACATCTCTGTGTATACATTTTAATTAGAAATCTAAAATAACTCAATAAGTATTTTATTGTAGTCATATGTTTGGCAATTTCAGTATTTTTTATTGCTATAATTAACACAACATTATATTGCCAATGATTTTTTTAGATATTTTTACTTATAACCGACTATTCTTTACATCAAGACTTTAAGTAAGGAACTATTTTAAAAAATTATTGTGCGTGATCTGCTTGTTGAATGTCTAAAGAAAGTTACATTGTTTTTTTAACAATTCGCTAAAATACTCATTTTGAACAAACAATGTTTCGAAATCAATTCAATTTTTAAAGAATTTTTAAAGGCTTTGAGATTTTTTTATATAAAACCAAACCTAACAACAAATAGGAAAGAACACAGGATGGCATTTATACAACACGTTGTGAATGAGAAAACTTTTATTTAGATGAAATCTCGAAATTTTATTGACAGCGTCGGCGGATCTCGTCTTCGCATCCTCCACGGTTAGTAATAACGCAGCCTAAGTAATTCAATTGCCTGACCACTTCATAACCTGCCATGTTTCTTATCTCTGCTTGGTTGTTTCTGATTCTATCGATAATCATTACTTTGGTTTTCTGCATAATTATTTTCAAACCATATTCCGTACTTACCGTGCCTAGCCTATTCATAATTTGTTCCAGTTCTTCTGGGGATCACGCCAATATAACAGTGTCATCAGCAGAACTCAGGTTTTTGTTTTGTCTCCTATCGTTGCTCCACCGTGCCATTCCTCAAAAACTTGATGCTTAATATGTTCAATATATATTGAATATAATAGAGGGGGATATTATGCATCCCTGTCGTACTCCAGTTTTTACTTTGAAGTTTTTCGAAACCACATTATTAAGTCTTACATTATCAGTATTGTTTACATATATATTTTGTAATAAATAGGATAGATATTCTGGCGCACCCATTTCTCTAAATTTATGCCACATTTTATCCCATTTTACCGAAGTTTTGGAATAGTCAACAAAGTACAAATATGTTTCTATGTTAAATTCTCGAAATTTTTCGATAATTTGACGAATATTAAGAATATGTTTTCTTGTGGGAGGAATCCGCATTGTTGTTGGGAAATTTGTGGTAAGAGAATTGATTTTAGTCTGTCATTGATGATGGTTAGAAATACTTTGCTCGCGTTTGATATCAATGCCATTGTACGGTAGTTACTGCAATGTGTCGGTTTTTATATATGGAAATAAACGTGAGTTTATTCCACTTATTTGGCCACTTTCCGGTATTCCAGATCTCATTGCAAATTTTAAGCATTACTTCTGTTCCTAATTCTCCCATTTCTTTAGTTTGTGTTTCAGTGTTTCAGCTGTTATTCCGTGTGTTCCTTCTGCTTAATTTCTGATTTCAACATTTGAGGAAACACCGACCAGTATAACAAAGGACAAAGGTACTCCATAAACTAAATAAAAACAACGTAACCAAAGTTAGAGCAGCAGACGAATTCACTGAAAATATTCCAACACCGGGAGGAATTAGACAAGGCGACAGTTTAAGCCCCTTCTTGTTTAATCTTCTCATGGGCAAAATTATCAACAAAGTAACATCTCTTAATCTCGGATATAGAATGGGCAATGCGCAGACGATGCAGCAATTATTGCCGAATCAGAAGATGATCTCCAAAGGCAGCAAACATTAGAGAGCAGTGCAAAATTCAAGATATTGTAAGATGGGGAAGGCAGCGCAAGAGGATGTGGTACAACCATGTAAGACGAATGGATGAGAATAGACTCCCAAAAATTGCCCTAGAAAGCAATCCGCCCGGTTCAAGACCCCCGGAAGACCACCTAAAAGATGGAGGGATAGTTGGCAATCTACCTCCCAGGAAATGAAATTGACCAGAGGCAGCTTCAGAATTAAACAGATCGAAAGATCTACAAAAATTAGAAGAAGAAGAACATTTGAGGTTCTTTTTCATAACTTCTTTTCTCTGTATTATTGTCTGGGTCGTTGTTAAAGAATAGTATTTCACAATATTGTTTCCACACCTCTGCGATATCGTCTCGGTTTGTTATGGTATTTTCACTATTTTCTTTGGTCGTCTGTATCCCCGGTTTGAGTTATCTCGCTAGATACTTGACTTTTGAAAAAATTCTGTAAATTCTTGGCGGTCTAGTTCCTCTAGTTATACACATATGTTTTTAATATAATTATTTTTGTCTATTCTGAACAAGTGTTTTATAATTGTATTTATGGTTTGTGTTTTGAATTTGATGTGCCCTTTCCAAGTTTTCGTCTTTCTTCTACAAGATTGAGTCTCTTCAATCATTAAATGTTTTTCCTAGCTATTTTGTATTTGGGTTTAGTGTTGATGGCTTCATTTTGACGTTTTGTCAGTGTCTCTTGTAGTCAGTGGTAGATCAGCTTCTGCTAATAATTCTATAAACATTTCCGGGTGTTTTGGAATCGATTTGTGTCTTTTGTTTTTACATTGTGTTTACTATACTAAGATCCATATCGATGGCAAATTGAAGGAGCCATTCACATCGTCCATTTCGCTCGCCTAAGCCATGCTCACCTATCGTTCCTTTCAAATGGTCTTCTATTTTAGTTTTTCCTGTCTTTGCTTTCCAATCTCTTATTATCCTCATTGGTTCTTTTTTAGGAATGTTAGAGATGGTTTCATGTATCAGGTGGTGTTTCTTTTACTATATCTTCTACCGCTTCGGATGTTTGCATATATACCTGTATAATATGCATTGTGGCTGGTTTACTTATTTTTATTATTCGATCATTTACTGGAAGGTATTCATGTACATATTTTGCCCAATGTTTTTGAATTAATATTGCTACGCCTTTTTGTTCTGATTTGGTAGCTTCTGACATGAAAACTTTGTATCCCAATATCCTTGGCCTTCCCAGTGTGTTTCAGATATCCCACAGATATCTAACTTCTCCTTGATCAGTTAATTTTCTAATATATACAATTTACCTGGCTGTAGCAGCTCCCTATCATTAAATGTTGGGATGGGGATAAGTTGGGTCGTCGCCCGAGTCTGTCTTTCGTGAAGTACTGAAAAGCACCTACTCGTTTCAGAGCTCCTCCCCAGGCAAAGAACCAGCACAGGGAAATTTATTTATTGTTAATAGATGTCTCTTCTGGATTTTTATTGGCGTTAACTTCGTCTCTACTTTGGGGTGGCTTTTTTCTTTCTTTTCTCTCAGCTGAGATTGAGTGTCTGGTCTGGGATTGGTGCCTCGGGCGTTTCTTTTGGCTAGATAGGTCGCTATATGGTGTGTATTTTTGATACCACCACATCTGTTGTTGTGGTGTGATGTATTTGTCATGTATAAGATCGGGTAGTAGGATCAGGAATGCCTTCACCCCTGGATCTTTTGCTTCTTCGATAGCTTGTAGACTGTACATTTATTTTTTCTATAAGGTTAGTTGAAAGTATCTGCAGGCTAAATCGCCTAATTGACTTACCTTCAAGGGTTGCTTAGTATTGTCTGTTAAATAAAACTCACCACATGCCAAAGACCGTATATTGACACTACCCTAACTACAATACGTTCTGCTGCTAAATTTATGTCTGTCTTTTTAAGGTTATCCTCCACGCATTGATATGTATTGCAACGCTAGTATCTAAACACTCTCGTGTTTTATAGTAGGCCAAACTTGGACAAACATTATATTATTATAAACAAATATACCACTAAAGACACGAGGTTCTTTACAAATATCTGGTTAATATTTTGATGTTAAACAATTGACTAAACAAAAAAATCTCTAAAATATTACGTTTTGGTGATGTATAAAAAAATCCAACACATTTAACTCTTTTCATTGTTCTAATCTATTTATTATGTTTGTAGCGCTCTTCACGTAATGATGAAAGATCAATACGCCAACTACGTCGTCCAAAAGATGATCGACGTCAGCGAACCGACTCAACGCAAGGTGCTGATGCATAAGATTCGTCCGCATCTCAATTCTTTGAGAAAGTACACATACGGCAAACACATCATCGCCAAATTGGAGAAGTACTTCATGAAAGCACCAGGATCGCTCAGCTCCATCGGAGGGGAGCTCGGCCCCATCGGCCCACCAACCAACGGGGTGCTTTAAATCAGCCACAGTCATGGAAAAAATCCGTTTCAGTTTTATTTAAATATTGATTCCAGTATTTTTTCGAGTTGATTGCTGCGTTTTTCCTTACTACGAAACGTACTACAAACTGTATTTTTAGACGATAGACGAAAAAGTAAAATAATATGGTTTCATTTATTTTAAAACTACTCTTTTTGTCTCTTCTGTCGAAAAATATGATTTATGTTTCACCTGTCAAATATGGAATTAATCATTATTTTGCATAAACTGCATATGAAAATAACAAATTTGGTCGTATAAAAGTATTGTTAATAATATGTAGGTACTACCAGGTTTGGAATATAGATTGTATTACTTTTATTTAGGTAGAAAGTATATATGTATAAATTGTGTATGTTTTTTTCAATTGAACAGACAAAAAATAGTTTAACTGCATGTGAATATATAGTATTTTACTATTTCGTATGTTGTTCTATATATATGGTTGTTTTGTCTCGTATTTAAGTACTATTATGTTGGTAATTAATTTTTTTTCGTAATTTTCATTTTTTATCAAGCATTTTTATTAATTTTTGTTTCTCTTAAGGTTAGTTATAGGTAAGGATTATCATGTATACATAATTTCTTGTATTATAATTATTGTATTTATGTATTTGACTTGATTATGTTCTCCTAATATTTGCGTTGAGTGGCTTTTTTTCGACACATTGCTAGGTGATAGTATTTTAGGTTAATCATCAATTTTTTTTCGTGAGTAATTTTTGATTCTGTGAGTCCTGAACTTTGGTTATTTGGTGTTGTATTCAGTTTGGGTAGATGCGATTTGGATTTATTATTAAATATATATATATATATAAAAACAAACAAAAAGACAAGCAGTTTAAGCAGCGTGCATGTTCATTTTTGTCTCCTCGCGGAAGATATTTGTTTATCAAAAATATAATAAGGAAGTAAGAAAAATTAAAATGAATCTCAATTATGGATGAAAACAGTTTTTTGTAAATAGAACTTCGAATGTAGAAAGATCAAGGCACTTTTTTAATACACATTATGCTTCTATTGCTAAATATGCACTAGCAAAACATTTTTGGGACTCCTGGCTCAAGCAAAAACATGTCAGGCACCAAAATTATGTTTAAGGAATGTTTTTATTTAAAGTGTCTTAGCTTTTCTACGTACAATTACCTTATAGAAATCATTACTTGTTTCTCTTGACAGTAAGCTAAATATTGTGATAAGGTCCTCAGGAAATAGACTTGAACATCATCAGAATTCATCCAAATCTAATGTTTTCTAGACGCACGTCATCTAAAATACACGCTTGTTCTTTTAATCAAACTATTTTTAAAAGTCTACAAAACAACGTTGAATTAATTAAATAATTCACTAATGTCGCTTATTTAGACAGAAAAATGAAAATAATTGTTAAATTACCCCTGTATTTCTCTTTTTCGAAGTAAATGGATTGTAGTTAATAAAATCGTTTCCATAGTAAACAATAGGCGTGCTTTATTTTAGGTAACGAAAAGTTAATACGGGAGTACACTGTATCTTCATTTTTTTTATTTCACCGTTTTTTGTAGACTGATCGATGTCAACATACACAACATACACGCCGTTTGCATTTAAATTAGGACTTAAGGGTTTTTATCATTATCTTAGAAGTTTTTTAGACGACGCCCTCTTCGTTTCCGTTACTATCGAGAAGAGCTTCGCATGGATTTTAGAGGATTTAGAAGGGTGAACGGGTTTGTGTTTGTCGGCACTTGTTTTATAGGTAAAGTGTTTGAGTTATAGGTAAAACTTTATATTCCATCAGTTGTGAGGTATTTAGACATACATAAAAGTTTGATTTGGGCTCCACACTTATCAAGGCTTCAAAATAGACAGTTTTATTAAATATGTGTTTCCCCAAAAATTGTTCTGGTCTCTTTAATGTTGCTGCATCTGTATAATAGTTTACAGAAAATTTTATTCCATGTGATAAATGACAGATCCATCTGTCATAATACGACTTGTGACAATGGAGATTGACAGTGGCGTGATGTATATGACGAAATCGTGTTCTGAGGCTAATTATTAATAAAGTTAAATGGAAAAAGTAGTTCAAGATGGGAAAAATTAATAATTACAGGATATAGGATTTTTCGTAAATGGATATATTTTTAGCTGATTTTATGTTCTATCAAAAACGAATGGTTTAGCTGAACGACTGAAAAATAATGTCATAATCACAGAACACAAACTATAAAAAGATTTTATTCTATATTTTAAGAATTTTATGCTAGAAGCTTTTAAAGTTAAAAATGTCAGAATGCGCACGAAGCACAAAGACAAATTGAATTTGGGTTGAGTTTACCGAAAGTACAAGCTGATCATAGCCGTAAATGTCAAACATGGAACAAAAAATTTTGGTAGTAGCAGTGTTGGCATATTTTTATAACGTAGATGCTGTATGCTTCAAATATAAAAAGATAAAGCTTTAGAAAAGTACATTTTGTTTATATTATGTTATGAATTCAGCAATTTTTGATTTATGTAAAACAAGAATGGGTAAATGTTTGTTTCTTTGGAGATTAATTGCAATTAATTATATTACCCTTTTGGTAGATTAGGGTATAGATTTGGCAATCGTCAAATCAGCACCAGATGTTTGCAACTAATCTTAAAAGAGACAAATATTTACCCGTTATTTCTTCATATAAATTAAAAATTGCGAAATGGATAAAATAGTATAATCAAAATGTACATTTTAAAAGCTTTATATTTGAAGCATACAACATATGCATATAAAGACATGCCAACGCAGCCAAACCGAAATATTTTTCAGATTTGCGCCTATAATCATCTCGTACGTTAGGTAAACTCAACCTGAATTTGTTTTATGCCATAATAAAAATAGTATGACAATACTGTATATTGATCACAATGTTCAGAAAAGGTAAATGATTTTTATGTGAAAATGCAGGTATTACAATATATATTTTATATAGTCTGTGACACTGTTTTTAGCAGATTTTTTTTCTTTTATCTTTTAGTTTTATCTGAACGACTGACAACAGGCATGCAACACAAATAGTGAAGGAGATTTTGTTTTACGTATTAAGAATGGCAGATGTTTTTAATGACGTCACAATGCACATGGAACACATGGAAGAAAAATATACTTTATTTTCGGCAGTGACAAAAATGGTATGACAATAAAGTATGATGAATTTTCATGAAAGAACATAGAGTTTTTTATGAAAATACAATTATTACAATACCTATAGCGCATTAAAGACACTATTTAGCGTTAAATATGTTAAAATAAAGGGTAAAATAACTTACCAGACAACCTGATTTTATCTGTTATTGTTTGTATGTTCTTTTAAGGGGTGTTGATCAGCAGCTTCCTTACTTTCAAATCATATCGTCAATCTTGTCCAATGTCAGTGAATTTTAAAATGAAATAGAAGCTGACTATGTACTTGATAAGAATCATTCTTAAGTGGACCTAACATCAAACTTTCGTGATCCATCGAAAGACTGAACTTCTGTCAACCAAATAACAAATAGGTGAAACTGATGGAATAGAACTGACGTTATGTAAATAATTTTAATAATTTTGCGAATAGTCGACTTCAACAAAAACTCCGCATCCTCTATTCCTCCTTTATATTTGTAAAATATGTTCATTTTGTCATAAAAAGAAATATTTCAGAGATATATTTATTGAGTTGATACTTGTTCAAATTTGATTGTGTAAAAAGAAAAATTTTATCAACTTGTAACATAAGAAGTCCCTATAAATGTAAATATAATTTGTAAAAATTGTATAATTTGTCTTGTACATAATGCGGATTTTTTTTCTATAGTTGCGAAGGGAAACTTTTTGGGCTGTCTTAGGTCGTTTGGACGCCTGTCAATTACAAGGAAACTAGAAGCTTGGCACATATTTGTGGAATAATACAATAATTTGGTACATTACTTTTTAATCAATTGTTTGTTTTTTTAATTTTCGTGGTACAATTAGTGGTTGGCTTTCTGTTTGACTTGTGATGGACGGGGCATAAAAAAATAAACAATTCCTCTTAGGACACATGTTAAGCTGTTTAAATGGTAGGACGTATTTAAAAAAATGTAGAACTTGATGGCACTTTTTCTTTTTACGATTTTAAATATAAATCATAATTGTATAAATTTTCTCAGATTCCATTTTAATATTATTAATATTTATCAATGTTCTATGTCGCGAGGTGGTCCAGATATGTGTATTTCTCTCCCAATATAGAAATTGGAAAATCTCACTCCAGATACTGCGATTGTATTAAATATTTCGAAGCCATTGGCACCTATTCAATAGTTTAAACAGAATAAACACAGTTTTTTAAAGTAAATTGATGCCATCTTTTGATTAAATCGCTTTATTTGCAATTTAAAAAGTTATATTTGTATTTCGACTGCGCAGAACCTGGTGAAAAATATCGCGGCTTGCTTATGAGCATAATTACAAAAAGTAACAAAAAATATTTTTCTTCAGAGGAATCGTTTTTCATTAAATCGATATCAATATAAACAATAAAAAAATATTAATACACAGAAAAATCTTTTTTGTGATTAAAATATGTATTTTACTCATAAGTATGACATATCCCGAGACAATTCATCTCTACGAGTTCGCGTTTTGATCATAAAAACTTTATAAAGCTATATGGCTTAATCTTTTTGGCTATTATCTTTTACCATGTTGTTCCGTCAGCTATTAAAAATCTGAAAGATTCATATATCATTCAAGGCACTCATTTTATTTTGTAATCAAATCAACGAACAATGGTAATCTAAGAGGGAATTTTCACGTGATTTTGGAACGCCTCGTATAAATTTATTGCATTTAATGACTGTTTTCTGTTTCAAGCTAACCTCTAGAAATAACCATATTTGTATCATCGAGTCGTTTTCACTGTTAACTGTTACATAACTTTAGAGGATACACACTATTAAGGGCTTCATCTTACACATATCAACAGAACAATGAC